TCCCTCCCTCCCTCCTTCCCTTCCTCCCTCTCCTTTGTTTTTCTTTCTTTCTTCTCACCTTTCTCTCTCTAACTCTCTCTTTTGTGCAACAAAAAGCCAAGAAGAAGAACGTGCTATTAGTAAGTAAGGGTGCCTATTTTTTAAAAAATGTATTTTTATTAATTTCAGAGAAGAAGGGAGAGGGAGAGATTGAAACATCGGTGATGAGAGAGAATCATGGACCGGCTGCCTCCTGCACGCCCCACACTGGGGATGGAACCCACAACCCGGGCCTGTGCCCTGACCGGGAATCTATCCGTGACCTCCTGGCTCATAGGTGGATGCTCAACCACTGAGCCACACCGGCCGGGCAAAGGTGTCTATTTTTTTAAAAAAATGGTAACCAGAATAGATACAAAACCCTATGTAAGGGCCCTAGACCCAACAGTAGGGTTATAATGGGTAAATACATCCAATTCTCACCTGAACTTTGCACTATTTCTCTCTTGGAGGAGAATCTACTGAATGTAACTTACACATTTTACCCATTCGACGTCCAAAGCAGATGTGCCCACGATCAGACCCTGGCGTTGGGCTCAGCGGGATGTGTGCGCCCGAGACCTGCCTCCCGGGTCCTCCCCGTAGAGAGCGGGGCTTCCCGCTCCAGTAGCCAGGGATTCCGCCCCCGGAACGGAAAGCCTTTTCCTTTTGTGGCAGAATCTTTAAAAACGGACACGCGTGTCATTGTGTTGTACGCATTCAGGTCACGTCATGTCATTTTTTCGCTGTTTCAATGCGTCGTTATCTGAATCACCCCAAATACAGTTGGAGAGAAACACTGCCAAGTGCAGAAACAGCAGCACTGTTAGGATTCAAGTGCTGTGTAGCTATTTCACAGTTCATTTAATTCTGGATTTTTCCCTGAAGAAAACAACCTTGTGTTTTAAGATTTCTCGCAGCAGAATCTCAGGTGCTTCTTGCGCTGTGCTGTGTTACCTACCGTCCCTTCTACGATTCGGCTTTACTTTAGGGTGGGTGTTGAATTAATACCTGGAAGAGGCATAGAGAAACCACACGTTCAGTTGTGTTTCTACCAAAGTACTGGGGCGTGGGGGTTGTGATGGCTGTCCGTCTGTCTTGTCCCTGTCTTCCGGTCCTGTTTTCTTTTTCTAATATGTATTTTTAGTGACTTCAGAGAGGAAGGGAGAGAGAGAGAAACATCAATGATGAGAGAGGATCACGGATCGGCTGCCTCCTGCCCACCGGGGATCGAGCCCACAACCCGGGCATGTGACCTTGACCGGGAATCAACGGTGACCTCCTGGTTCCTAGGTCGACGCTCAACCACTGAGCCACGCCGGCCGGCTTCCTGTTCCCGTTTAGCTTTATTTTAGTCAACTCTGTTTTAACGACTCTAGAAGGGAAGCCATTTAAAGAGATAATTACAAGAGACGCTTTACGCTGTCACGTCTCTGCAGATAGCTCTATTCTCACTGGGATCTCTTGTACATTGGCGATTCTCTATGTGCATACTGAGCAGAAGCTGTTATTTATTTTCCTGTAGACCCGTAGCCCCCCGAAAGATAAATGAACCTGATTTCTGTTAGTCAACAATGAAGGTGCTCCCCTTGCCGAGACCCAAGGCCCGGGCCTGTGCGCTGTATTATGAAGCCTCGCGCGTGGAAAAGGTGTTTACACACGTTGTCTATTTTTTTAATAAACGTTTTTTGATGGTTGGTCTCCCTGCTCAGTGGCTCTGATCGGCTGACTGTAGTTTGTAACCGTTTTATTTGTATTCAACTAGGAAAGGTACGTTAATAAAGATCTTTGATGCTGAATAAGCCGGTATTTCTCCGTCTTCTGGTCTCGGGGCTTCAAGGGGAACTGGGGTGCAGAGGAGCTGGGGTGCAGGTGTAGCTGAAACTCAAGGCTGGATGGTCCCAGCTGTGGTCAACCTGGCGCCCAGGCAATGCCTTTCATTGGGGACCGGCTGACGAGGGCCAGGTTCTGGGAGCCCGTCCCCTTTTATTGATTTTAGAGAGGAAGGGAGAGGGAGAGAGAGATCAAAGCATCAATGATGAGAGAGAGTCATGGATCGGCTGCCTCCTGCACACCCCCATTGGGGATCAAGCCCACAACCCAGGCATGTGCCCTTGACCGGAATCAAAGCCGGGACCCTTCAGTCCGCAGGCCGGCGCTCTATCCACTGAGCCAAACCGGCTAGGCTATTTTGGAACATTTGATTCTTGATTCTTCATGATCTCACACATGTGTGTGTATATGTTTTATATGTGTAATACGCATATATATTGTTTATGAAGTCTTGTCTATAAATCTTGGCCTCTGCCTCTCTGATTACCTTTTCTTAGGCGCCCCATGGAGGCAGGGTACACAAACTCTGCCACATGTTGTGCAATCGCCTTTCCAGGAAAGGCACACCAATCCTCACCCACCATGAGGCGGCTCGCTGGCCCTCCTCCCTTCACAAGAAACACCCCTTGGCAAACTCAGTCCCTCTGGGAGTCGGCACCTTGGGACCTTGACACTCTTCGTGTGTTAAAGAGAGAGAGCTCTGTCACCGGACATTTCCACACTCTCCTGGGCTTTTGGTGCCTCTTGTGGAGGGTGCGGAGGGGGGCCGAAGCTTCTAGTAGGAAGCCGAGGTGCCTGGGGCTGGACCCACCATGATGGGGACCCCAGGGCTCACTGTTGGGCCACCCGGGCCTGGACAGCGGGGCATAGCCAACAGCACAGGCACACACTCTTATCTGAGTCCACAAAGATACTCGCACACACTTCCACGCACACTCACAGACACATGCGCAAACACTCTCACATGCACACACAAAAACGCTCTTGCAGATGCTCACACATGCACATGTACACTCACAGACACACACACATACCTTTACACACGTGCATGCACACCCCCATGTGCACACGTACGTGCACACACCCACACGTATGAGTGCACACACTCGCCCATGCACACACACGGGTGTGCACACAGACACACAATCTCACAGATGCACACACGGACACACTGTCAGACATGCACGTACACACACCCTCACAGACACACACCCTCACACACGCGTGCACACACACTCACACACTCACTCACTCATCCACACGCGCATGCTCTCACCGCCCACCAGGGGCCAAACCGGTTCTCTCTCTGAACCCAGCGGAGCCGGAGGAGCCGCCCCCGCCCAGCTGGCGCTCG